AGAATGTATGTCTATACCAAAACTTGTACAGCAATGTTCGCATGTTTAATAGTCCCAAAATGGAAACAACCCAAATGTACATCACTACTGAGTGGATAAACAACATGTAGTATATCCATACAATGGAGTATTATTCAGCCATAAAAAGGAATGAAGTATTAGGACATGCTACAACATGGATGAATCCTGAAAGAAACCAGTGAAAGAAACCAGTCACAAAAGACCAGTTACTGTATGATTCCACTTACATCAAATGTTCAAAATAGGCAAATCTATATAGTGACAGAAAGTGGGTTAATGGCTGCCAGTGTCAGGGATAGGATGTGAATGACCGCTAATGACTGCAGAGGTTTTTCTTTTCGGAGGCAGGTGGTGATTAAAATGTTCTGGAATTAGTAGTGCACAACTTTGTGAATATACTAAAAACCACTATAGTGTATGCTTTAAAAGGGTGAATTTTATGGTGTGTGTATTATATCCCAAAAAAAGAATAAAAGTATATACCAAGTAATTTTTTTAGACATACAGTACTTGTCAAAATCATATTTTTTTAAATATATAAGAATGATTAAAAAAAAGAATGATAAACTCTATATCAGAAGGGTAGTTTCTTATGGTCAGGAGCGGGCAGATGTGTAAAACAGGATGATACCACATTTTGGTAGATCTAAGTTTTTGCTCATGTTCTTGTTTTCAGGCTAAGTGATATTCATGAATCAGTGGGTGAAATTAGTGATCTATCCAATTCTGAATACTGGAGGTCCATTCAAACAATAAGCACAATTTCTCTTAACTTTTCCTGGCAATCATACTGTGCCTCTGTGTGCAGCACTCTACACAAAAGATTTCAAACTTTATTCTCCTCAATCCACCATTCTTCCACTATTTCGCAGTGGATGTGCTATTTTCCCGTTTCTCCTGTTACCTGATAGTAGGTCTCTCCCCTCCTACCTAAGGACAGTCTCTGTGCTGTAGCTGTGCTTGAGATCCCAGTGCTGCCCTCATTCCTGTTCAAGGACATCATTTCATCAGTTATGTTCTGTTACTGGTTCTTTCCTATCAGTTTTTAAAGATGCTAAATTTCTCACATTTTAAATAAAACTCTCCCTCAATCTTATCTTTCTCCTATGGCTATCTTTCTCTCTCTCCCCTGCTTCAAAACAAAATTTTATGCACCGTCAGTACATCTCAACTTCCTGATGATCCTCTGCTTTTCACTCATTCCAGCTGACACTCTACAGCTGCATGTGGCTTAATTCAATGGACATTTTCCAGAGCGTTAGACTTACCTCTGTAAAAGTTGACACTGAGCACTCCCTCCTTTTCGAAATGTTCTCTTGACTTTCATGCTACCTTAATTACTTCTCAGGCTCCTTTGCAGTGGCAATTCCTCTACACAGATGTTAAATGATTCCAATTTTTCTTAGAGCTCGGTCCTAGGCTCTCTGCTCTTCTTCCTTAGAGATTACATTCAACCTTAAAGCTTTAATTGCCATTTAAAAATTCTGACTCCGCAGATTTTGTTTCCAGTCCATCAGCAATCTGAGAGTGCCAAATGGAAATTGTTGCTAGCTCAGGGATCTATTTCACCTGTTCTAACTTAACCCTTTTTAAAATGTCTTTCAATTTAAATGTTTGAGGTTGAACTCTATTTTCCAGCATGTTCTCAAAAAGACAGCCATCACATCTGAACTCCATTAACCAGTTTGTTCTCAAAAAAAGAACCACCACAGGTCATACTCCTGTTCTAGAAGCTCAGTGGTAAATCCTGGGCCCAGTCATTCTACCACATGTATCTTGATATTATATTTTTCTTTTCCAAGTGCTCTTTCTTATTTTCTAATGGTATTTTTTTAAAATTGGCATCTTACTTTTGTTGGGTTTAATGCAGAAACTTTTTAGGGTCTCTAAAAAAAAAAAAACCAAGTGTTTGAAGTTCGTTTTTTCTGTTCCCTATGTTGCCTCATTTCTTGGAAGCTTTTTGTTTGGCTTTTGGTCTCTGTCTTCCTTGTTGGAGGCTGTTCTCAAACGTCTGGTATTCCTGTACTGTTCTCTTCACATTGTAGAGTGAGGCACAAGTTGACAGGAAGCTCTATGCTCCAGAGGAAGGGGGTTAGGTTCACTGTGGGTGGTCAGGAAAGCAAAATGGCTCTTCCTTTGTAGGGCCTTTCCGTGGAGGCAGCTCAGTTTCTGAGAAGAATCCTGTCTTGCTCCAGGACTTGCTAAGTCCAACTGCCAATGTTTTGAGAACAAAGTGGGGTTGGAAGGCCTCCTGCCCTTTGCGTGCTCCCAGGGCACCCTGACCTACCACAGCACTTATCACCCACCTAATTACTTTATAATGTATATTTTCACACTATATTGTAAGCCCAATGAGACAGTACCATGTCTGTCCTTTTCACATATTCCCAGCACCCAGCACAATCCGTGGTACACAGCAGGCACTCAAAAATGCTTGCTGGATGAATAAATGGTAAGAGTTCAGGCTCAGGGGATCCACAAGGTGGTCTCTGGCAATATTAGAGTTTTGTTTAAGATGTAGGAACCCTTCGATGATCAGAATCCTTCTACCTAGAGGATTTGAGGTTCTGCCTGGAATTTGGATCAAGCCACTTGCAATCTCTACAGCCCACTTACAGCCAACAGCTCTAAATGCCACAGATTCATCTTCTCTCATTAGTCTGCTCCTCGTGATGACAAAAACACTGCAGGTTAAATGAACAAAACCCATGACCTTAATTATGGGTTATGTTGCTTGTTCTTGGTTCCTGTGCTCACACATACTCTAATAATTATCTAAGAAGCTTTCTTACCAATACCGTTCTTCCAGCATTGCAGATAGCCTGTATAAATAGCTCACCCTCTGACAGTAGAATGGGCTTTAAATTCTTCTCTGTTAAGTTCCTATCAGGTGGTGAAATCTGTTCTGCTAGTCGGGGAGGAGAAATGAAGTTGCTCTTTGGGGAACAGGCCTTATATACAGACACACTAACTGGCTACCAGCATTTTGGCTGCGTGCCTGCCATGCTGGGAAGTACACGGGAAAGAGGCAGAGGCAGAAAAGACTTGAACATTAAGTGTAAGAGAGAGCAGGGAGAAAGCCACCTATAAGGACTACCTCATGGGAGGGAAGAACAGAGGAGAAGGTGAGGCCCTATTTGAGTTAGGCTGGGCACAAGCTAAGCTGGTGTAACAAGAGACCCAACCACACCTTGGCTTACAGAAGACAGAACTTTATTTCCCTGGGCAGTCCAGAAGCAGGCAGTGCAGGCAGGTGGGGTGGCTCCGTACAGTCTTTCAGACCAAGAAACCTACTTTTTCTTAACTTCACCATTCCTTTGCGTGTTTTCTTTGACTTCATGGTCATGGCTGGGATAAACCTTCCCTTTTGTAGGAGGTACTTTAGAGTGCCCCATTCCATTAGAGATGGAGGAAGTTCATGAAGGGTCTAGGGAGGGTTAAAAATAACAATCCCCAAACTCCAAATCTTGAGATACTGAAGGAGGCTTACTTACTCAAGTTTATAGTAAGGAACATTCCATACCCAAACAAAACAATAGGTAGTGTTTGTTTCTCCAGAAGAGGAAATGACCTAATATTGCTGAAGTTTGACTCCAGTTTTGAAAACAGGTGCTGAATATTCTAACAGCATCTCTCACACCTCAATTTTTACACAATCTTCCATTTCCTGGAAGAGTCAGGAAAAGAGAAAAATATGTATAATTCATTTATATTGGTTTGCTATGCTACTACTAATTACCATTTATCAGATACCCTTATACTTTAGGAAAAATATAATTTGTAAATATAATGGACTAGATTCACAATCATTGCTCTAACTACAGAGAATTCTGATTTCTTTCTGAAGCAAAGCACTGGTCCAAACATGGCCATTTCTCTTAAAACTGTTTTGCTCCCAGCTAACACAGTTATTTCTTTCTTTCTTTCTTTTTTTAACTCAGGTGCATTTTTTGAAAAGAACTCTCTGAAAAACTTCCAGCAGTTGGATTTGGCGGGTAATTGTGTGAGCAGTGATGGATGGTTTGCTTTCATGAGTGCATTTGAGAATATTAAGCAATTGGTGTTTTTTGACTTCAGTACTGAAAGACTTTTACCTGATGCATCATTGGTCAGAAAACTTAGTCAGGTGTTATCCAAATTAACTTTTTTGCAAGAAGCTAGGCTTGTTGGGTGGCAGTTTGATGATGAAGATGTCAGTGTCATTAAAGGTGCTTTTGAACTAGTAACTGCTTAAATAAAAGACACCCTAAGCCTATGAATGCTCTGGGGACCCCATTATTTCAGCCTGGTGATTTAAAAATCTTTGCTCAAAAAAATAAAAATAAAAATCTTTGCTCATATAGTCCAAGAGTCTGCAAGTATATGACAATCCATTATACACCTGAAAATTATCCTTCTCAACAGTGTCTGCCTAACTGGCCCCTTGTATTTTTCTTCTTTCCTGGTATCAGATTGATGTGTGGCACCACCATTTCCTTAGCTGGCCTCTTTCATGGAAATCTACTTTCTTAGTTTCATCATTCAGGAAAAAAAGAGAAGGAAGAGAGGAGGATGCCAGGAAAATGAGGCCAAAGAAGAGGCGGAAGTGGGCGGGAGTTTAATTTGATGACATGTGTAACAGTTCTGGTGTCCCACTTCTACTAGGATTATCAGCTGCTTGAAGAGGACTCCTGTTCATCCCTGTGTTCCCCTTGGTCTCAAGAACAGCAGGTCTCCAAAATGGATTTATTGTAAGCACATTACTTAGCACTGTGCCTGGAATGTACTAGACTCCAGAGAAGCATTTGCTGGAAAATGGGATAATTAAGTTACCAATAAATAGCTACTGAATAAAGAAAATAGGCCAAAACCATTTAAAAGCAGAGAGAAAACTCCATGTATGTTCTTTATTCAAAGTTTAATTCAAACAATTTGGAATGTAAAAGGTATTTTCTTACATAAGAAGCAGATTAGACTCCCCTAAAAGATTAGCATTCTTTAGTCAAGCAAAAAAAAAATTGGCAGTTTATGGGCAGTTAATCAGAGGTTTGAAATTCAGCTCCTCTCCAGTTGCTGATATGTGTATGTAATTCTGTCACTTTAGACATTAAGGAAGAAAGAAAAAAATGGATCACATTCGTTTGTACCCTATGGAAATTAGGGGTATGCTCTCCTAATCTTTTCTCCAACACCTCCAAAAATAATCCTTCCCCACAAAGAAGTCTAAGAAAAATCTGTTTAATCTAAACAGATTTAAGCTGAGGCAACTCTGAAATAAACAAAAACCAAAATGGTGTGAGCCTGTAGTTTACCTTCTGTTATCATGGCACCTCAAATTAATGGCTTGAGTAACACTTGTCCTATGTGTTGAGGTAGTCACTGAAAAATTCTGGGCACAATATTCTGTTTTCGCAAGTGGACATATATTCTCCAGGTTTAGTTACACAATTTTAGAGCTAACAGTTTACAGATTAAACTTCATTCCCTACCTAAACCTTATAGATGAGAAAGCTCCAAGAAGTCAAATGACTTTCCTATGGTTATAAAACTACTTACACAGGGGCAGTATCAGGATTGTAACTGAAATCTCTTGTCTTCCAGTCCAGTGTTTCTTCCATTACAATACAGTGATTTCTCAAACAGGACTGACCACACTCCACAGAGCCTGCTCAATCACAAGCCACTCAATCACAAACCATGGCAGAAGCTACTGCCTCTTGCCCTATGCTGACCAAGTTTGTCGTGTTCCATACACAGAATTTGGCCATAGCTTGGGAAATATGGCTTCTCTACATACTAATGCCTGATAAAATGTCACCTGTGGCAGCTGGCATTACTGTTCAGCAAGCAGAGCCAACACTTTCAGAACCCACAGACAACTGCCCGAATAGTGTAGGTGGGTACCCAAGCACCTTAGGTGGGACAACTGCACAGGTGTTGCCTCTGAATAGATGCTGAGTAAGTAGGCATTTATTCTCACACAGAACTGTGTTCAGTACCTAGGCACTTCAAAAATCCCCTGGGGACGGAGAAGAATGCATAGGGTGGCAGCACATACCTTATAATCACCACTCGGTACATGGCAGTTCTTCAGATTTCATGCATGACCGACTTCACATTTAGATGAGGTCAATGGAGGAAAAACCACCCTGTAATAGTAGACCAATAATAGGTACAGTAACAGTTGGTGAACCTAAGACAAAGGACAAGGAGAAGGTTGCTTTATCACATTTTAGGTTTCACTTTCCACAGCAGTCAAGGTAAGGTGGGCTCTATTTCTTCAGTAGGTCAAATGCCTGAATAGGGTCGCAGATGTCAAAGACAATAATCAACTCCCCATCAAGCAAAAGTTATTCGGGACATGGTCACTTACTATCACAGGATGACTACAATTCTGCTTGACAGAGGTGGCTTCCTAGATGTTTACTATTCCACTGTGAAGAAACAGGATGTGGGAGTGTTGCTCATATTTAAAGGAGGATAGTTGAAGAAACTTGAGAATTCTTAAAAAAAAAAAAATCTTCTCTAGATAGCTGCTAATGGCTGGCAATGTTACCAATCTCCAGGAGTACTGGATTCTATAAAAGCTGAATCCACTTTCAAAATCCATTTTTAAAATCCTAATTATAAAATTCATGATAAAATGAAAAAACTCATACGTAATTTGTAACTGCTGCTTATTATAATTTTTATAAGTAATACTGGCCATATCAGAAAGTCCTTAACATTTGCATTTGGAAAATAATAAAATAGTAATCTACATGATTCTCACACTTCATTATAGTTAACAATTCACTATTTTCAACAAGACAAAACAAAGTAAGTTAGAAAGTGTCTATGGCAGATCTAACAATGCTGTATTCTATAAGCTAAGGTCTACTATGTTTTGGTAAAATTATATAATGTAAACAAACTGTTTATGCAACTTTGAAAAAAGATTAAATCACATATTATGTATGGAATTCCACATATTTTGGTAATATATGTGATATATTTTGTTAATAAAATTAGAAATTGATAAGTCAACCAATGAAAAGGTGACCAGTGGGGAGGTTATAGCTCAAAGTGGTGGAACAAGTGCTTAGTATGCACAAGGTCCTGGGTTCAATCCTTATTACCTCCTTTAAAAAAAGTAAATAAATACATAAACCTAATTATCTACCCCCCAAAAAAACTTAAAAAAAAAAAAGGTGATCAAAAAATAAATCCATCATTATGTCAGTGTTTGACTACATGTAAAGCAGAAAATTGGGATTCCTTCACTGCATATCACCTAAGGATTCAGCATTTATTCAACCAAAATAAAATACTTGGAGAATGATGGGCCATTTACAAATGTATCAGTTTTTTTTAGTAAAATCTATAAAAAAAACTGATAACTAAAAATTTTAAATTATGCCTGATATTAGAATATGTTCTTGAATTTCTCATAAAATATTTTGCTTTTACTTTGCAAGACAATTCCGGAGGACGACAAAAAAATGTAGCAATTAAGTTTGGAAAATCTGTAAAAAAGACTTTTACTTTTAGAATGTATTTTTTTTTCTAAAATGTGTATTCAAGAAGCATGTTTATAAATTTCACTGGAGAAAGTATTATATTTTTGATAATGTGACAGATCCAATCCATCAAGTGGCTCTCTTATAAAGGTAATGTTATATCACACTGCAGTCAACTACAAAACCAAAGATAGCAAAATTCAAATTTAGATAAACACTCCTTCTAAAGGAAGCCTATTTAAAGCCTATAACATTTAGAAGGTTCTCACTGCCCCAAATACATTTACAAAAATATAGTTTCATTGGTTTCATGAAATGTGAACAAGCCTACTATTCTCTAACACTTAGAGTAACTGATTGAACAGTCGATGTAAAATTGGATTATGAAACAAACTGGAAGGCAAAGAGTCAATATTCTTCATAAAAATAAATTAAATTACAGTACATCATGGTCTTGGTTGTCCAATTCTATTGTTAGTTCCATATCTGCTTGGTATATTTGTAAAACCAGTCCTGAATCCTTGGGTTGCTCCAATTCCTGGAACTCCATGTCCTTGATTAAGCATGCTGCTATAAGGTGTGTGTCCATGATTAAGACCCAAACCATAAGGTCTTGTTTGTGTATTTAGAAGAATAACTGGGCTCACGTTTTTCCCAGGGGTGTTAAATGAAAATTCTGGAGGTGGACTACTATGTTTAGCTGGAGTCGATGTGACAGGGTTTGACTCATCAGTCCCCTTTAATGGAGGCATTGGGATTACGTGATGATGATCTGAAAAGTTTAGGACGCCGGCTGCAACAGGCCCAGACAGTAAGGCAGGCCTGATCCAATCATCCTTGAAAATCTGAACAGTCAGAGTAGACACTAGTGTGTACAGCCTGTTGGTCACATGAGCAAGGACCATTTGTTCATTTGCATCTCGTCGAATTCTCACATGAACTGATCCAGCCTGAAAGGGGCAAAATCATAAGAAAGAGACTGCTTAGAATTATACTACTGAAAATTCCATTAGAAATAAACATTTTATTTATGATTTGGTTGTAACAGTACTTGGCATTTTCTTTAAAACAAGAGAAAACTTAATGTCTTGATAATCCTGAAAGAATACTTAATAGTGATTATCAATGTAATGAATTAATAAAATTTCAATTTATGACTCTTTAAATGAGACTTTTTAAAATATAAAAAAAGAGAAATCCACGTAGGAGGATGGCAGGCATGTTATAGCACAAGGTAGAATACAAATGCCATATAGGGAAATTCACTGGAAGGGTAGAAAAGGTAGGTAATTAATTCCAATTGAGGAAGACTTCAAAAGAAGGTGGCATTTGATCTAGGGTTGGTGGTTAAATGAAATTTCAAAAGATAGAGACAGGCATTCCAAGTTGAGGGAATAGCAATTAAAATCTGTGGCATGTTTGGGAAAAAATAAGCAATATTATTATATAAAAAGAAGTACAAATATTTCAGGGGGCATAAAAATAATGATAGAAAAGAAAAGGAGGAAGAAAGGAATAAACAGAAAAGGAAAGGAAGAATGGAAAAAAGAAAGAAAAATAGGTTGGGTTAATAAGGTTAAAAGAAAAGGCTAGCAGAGGGCTCTAAAAATCATGAACAAGGAGTTTTAGCTGCAGTAATTGAAGAGAAGTAAAATTAATTTGAGTTCAGAAAAATTGTAGGTATGGATAATTTCTAATTAGGTAGGAAATGACTAACAGTGTAGGTTAGAAATGAAGAGGGCTAAAAGACAGGACAGATATAGTGGGATCAGAGAGGGACAGATGCATTCATGATATTCCATGGATTTGAAACAGGAGAACTTGACAGTCAATTAGATACAATGAAAGAGGGAGATGAACACATCAAAGACAATCTCAAGGTTCCTAGCCTAGATTACTAGGAGGACAGAGAGCACCAGGCATTACAATGTTGGTTAGAAGTATGTTTATTAGCTTGAAAAAATACTCATCATACATTTTGTTTTTAAAGTAGATAATAAAGTAAGAGATAAAACAACCCCATTTTGATTAAAACATACACACAGAAAAATACTAAGGATGATACCACATGATCACCTCAAACAGATACAGAACAAGCATCTGACAAAATTCAACATCCATTCATGATAAAAACTCTCAACAAAGTTGCAATAGATGGAACATACCTTAACATAATAAAAGTCATTTATGTCAAACACACAGCTAAAATAATACTCAATGATGAAAAGCTAAAAGCTTTTCTTCTAAAATCAGGAAGAAGATAACGATGCCCACTGTTGCCATTTCTATTTAACATAGAATTGGAAGCCCTAGACATAGCAGTCAGATAAATAAGAAAAAAGAGGCATCCAAATTGAAAGGGAAGAAGTAAAATTATCACCATTCACAGATTACATAATACTATACATATAAAACCCTAAAGACTCCACAAAAAAACTATTAGAACTAACAAATGAATTCAGTAGAGCTGCAGGATGCAAAACTAATATAAAGAAATCTGCTGCATTTCTAAATACTAATAATGGACTATCCCCCAAAACCCAAGAAAATCCCATTTACTATCAAAAAGAATAAAAATACCTAGGAATAAACTTAACCAAGGAGGTGAAAGACTTATACTCTAAAACTGTAAGACACCAGTGAAAGAAAGATGATACCAATATATGCAAAGATTGTTTGTGTTCATGGACTAGATGAATTAATATTGTTAAAATGTCCATACTACTCAAAGCAATCTACAGATTCAATGCAACCCTTTAAAAATACCCATGGCATTTTTCATAGAACTAGAACAAATAATCCTAAAATCTGTATGGAATCACAAAAGACCCCAAACAGCCAAAACAATCTTGAGAAGGAAGAACATAGGTACCACGCTCCCTGACTTTAAACTATACTATACACACACACACACACACACACACACACACACACACACCCCTTATATACATATATAGACACACTATATATAATATAGTAATCCAAATACTGTAGTTCTGGCACAAAAAGACACATAGATCAATGGAAAGAATAGAGAGCCCAGAAATAAATCCACACACATATGGTCAATTAAACTACAACAAAGGAAGCAAGAAAATAAATGGGGAAAAGATGGTCCCTTCAATAAGTGGTGTTGGGAAAACTGGACAGCTACATGCAAAACAAAGAAAAACAACATTTTCTCGTATCATATACACAAATAAACTTCGGTCTTTAATCTATTTTGAGTTTAACACCTGAAACCATAAAACTCCTAGAAGAAAACACAGGCTGTAAGCTCTTTGACACTGCTCTCAGCAATATTTTTTTGATCTGTCTCCTCAGGCAAGGGCAACAAAAGCAAAAATAAACAAATGGGCCCTAAAACGCTTTTGCAATGAACACAGAAACCATCAACAAAAAAAGGCAACCTACTAAATGAGGGAAGATATTTGCAAACATGTCTAATAAGGACATAAAGAACTCATATAACTCAAGAGAAAACAAAAACAATTAAAAAATTGGCAGAGGATCTGAATAGCCATTTTTCCAAAGAAAACATACAAGAGGACAACTGGCACATGAAAAGATGCTCAACATCAGTAATAAACAGGGAAATGCAAATCAAAATCACAAGAAGATATCATTTCATACCTGTCAAAATGACTATTGTCAAAAAGACAAAAATTAACAAGTGTTGGCAAGGATGTGGAGAAAAGGGAACCATAGCATATTGTTGTTGAGATTGTAAATTGGTATACCCAGTAGGGAAAACTGTATGGAAGTTCCTCAAGAAATAAAAAACAGAATTACCATGCGACCCAGCAATTCCACACTTAGGTATTTATCTGAAGAAAATGAAAACACTAACTCAAAAAGATACACACACCCCAATGTTCACAGCAGCATTATTTACAATAGCTAAGATATCTAAGCAACTTAAGTGTCCAACAACAGATGAATAGATAAAAAAGATGTGGTATATATATAGAATGGAATATTACTCAGCCATAATAAAGAATGAAACCTTGCCATTTGTGACAACTTGGATGGACCTGGATGGTATTATGCTTAGTGAAATAAGTCAGGTAGAGAAAGACAAATACTGTATGTTTTTACTTACATGTAGAATCTGGAAAAAAAAAAAAGCAAATGAACAAATATAACAAAACAGGAATAGACTCATAAATACAAAGAACTAGTGGTTACTAGTAGGGAGGGGGTGGGGGAAGGGGAGAAACAGGTGAAGGGCAATGAGAGGTACAAACTGTCAGTTATAAAAAATGTTAAGTCACAGGAGTATAATGTACAGCACAGGGCATAAGTCAATATTTTATAACTTTGTATGATGTGTACTCTATAATATCAAATCACTATGTTGAGAGAAAAAAAATAATGACAGCACTTATCTCCAGATGGTAGAATTATTAAGGATTTTTGTTCACTTTTTTTGACAACTATAAGTCTTAATTTTTCTAACAATGGGGTACTATTTGTATAATAAAAACTTAAAAATACATAGTAAATTTAAAAAACACAAAAAGTAAAACAAAAATATATAGTAAATAAAATATCTAGCAGACATTCCATGTTGATTTCTATATAAACTCATATTAAAAAAAAGAAAATTTGTAACAAAGCATAAACTGCACATAAATTGGCAAAATAGCTGGTTTAGTTACAACTGGTCTGAATCTATGACTTGAGCAGTAAGTAATAAGAGGGTTTTGTCAATCATGAGATTAAAGAATCTTACTGCTTGAATCTGACTTATAGTTTATTACTTTTAGGTAAGACAAGCCATTTTACCCTTTTGTTTGCCACAACCACCTCACAGTTGTCACTATATAAAACTATAAAAGATGCTGTATCTCCTCTATCATTCTGACATGGAAATCAAAGTAAACAAGCGAAAACCATTTCCAAGTATGAGCTTGAACAGAGTCTCCTATGATAATGGTGTTTGCATTAATCTATGGCTTTTGTGACAATTAATCTTGGTAGCTCAAAAGCTTGTTTTATTAATTTCCTCTGTCTTAATTAGGCACTACATAGGTGAGGCTGTTGGATGGCCAAGTTCTGAACTGTAGAGATGAGGGTATTTTTTGTGTTTATAAGCCTAACCTAGCTAAATAAACATTTGTCTACTAATTGTTACTATCAGTACAATTGAAAGAATAATTTAAAATGAACTACATTACAGCAGGACTGTAAAATGGTAAAATCATTTCTGGAAAGTAATTTGGCTATTTCTATCAACAGCTATAAAAAAATTTAAGTATCCTGTGACTAATAGAACCCATTTCTAAAAAATAATCTTAATCCACAAAAATGTTCACTCCAGCCCTGTTTATATGGGGAAAATGATAAATAAGTTATCCCTTAGGGGACTGATTAAATAAATTACAGTATATTCATATACTGTAAGACTGCAGTCATTATGAATTATGTTGGAATTCTTAAAGGACCTCAAATATCCCCATAAAAACAGAGAAACTAAGACAGCAAATCCTAACTGACAGACAATGTCTACAAAAAACTAGATTAACATGATACCCTTGAGAAAACCCAAATACAAACTGTAAGACCTGAAAGGTATGAGCATCTGTGAAGAAGAATGTAACAGGCCATTTGACTAACCTAAAAACTCCACAGCAGTTGACCAGTTCTTAATGGAAATCTAGGACAGTGAATCTGAGAAAAGTAGCTGGTGTTTTGTACATTTCAATAGTGTTACACTGGGTCTGCAATAAGATATGAAGAGCTGGAGTAGTCTGAGCCCTATGAGCTCTCAAAAGTAACCAAACAAAGCTCCCTTCCAGTACAAAGCTCCACATTAAGGAGAAACAAATGGGAACAGAATCCAAATTGAGCAACACAGTAGAGACAAAGAATAAGGAAGGTTCAGACACAAATGAGGAAGAAACAGGAAAAAGAAAAAACTTTTCACTTCACAGACTCATCAGAAGAGGGAGTTCTAGAACGATGAATTTAGACACACTACCCTAAACCATTCTTTATTTTAAAGTACAGGAAAATGAATTTAACATAAAAAGGAACGAAAGAAAAGGATTAAATCCAATTCCACACAAAATTATCGTAAGAAAAAGAGAATACAGAACAGATTATAAAAGATCACCAGAAAGATTTACCTACAAAACTGATGAGAACTATTACCTATTTTTACAAATCAAGCTGAAAGACATAAAATAAAAATAATACAAGTCAGAATTAGAAAACTTCAGAAATGAGATAGCCATTAGAAATACAAGAAGAAAATTATTTCAGAAACAAAGATTAAACTAGAAGGAATACAAAAGCAAATAAACATACAGGTATACTGTAAGAGAAATAAAAGGTAAAAGAAGGAAATTTTAAAAATCAAAAAGAAATTGAGATAATAAGGAAATTAAAAGAAAATAACACATATGAAAGAAAGGCAAAGATCCAACATGCTTATAATGGGAGTTTCCTTCTAAAAAAGAAAAAAAATAAAAACCCACAAAATATTATGAACTTTTAATTAAAGAACACTTTCCTGAAAGTTTTAAAAAACTGTTTTTGAAATAACATTATTGAAAGGGTATACTGCATACCGGAAATAACTGATCCAAAACGATCAACACCAAAATATATTCTAATAAAATTACTGGACTTAAAAAAAAATCTTTTGGGCATCCAGGCAAAGTGATCAAGTCACATATTTAAGAGGGAAAAAAAAATTAGACTATGATCATCAGGCTTTACCATAGTAATGCTTTATGCCAGAGGTAAATGGAGTAATATATTCAGGAAACTCAAGGAAATAAAATATGTGCTCAGGATTTTATATCCAGCCAAATGATTTTCAAGTATAATGTTCACAATTGTTTTCAACATTCAAAAATTTAGGGAATATTGTTCCCAAGGGCCCTTCCTGAAGAATTTACGACAGAATGAGCTTTAGATATCCAAAATAACTAGAGAGGGAAAGAAAAGAAGGGAGAGATGAAGTAGCCATTTTTCCACTAAAAGAGCATAAGCCTGAAGCTAAAGACTGCAAAATGGTTCTATCATTGAGCTGTTGGACCAACCCTAATTTGCCTACCCTTGAAATCTGGGTTACTTTATAAAAGTCAAATTCTATTTGTTTTTTAAAAAATAATTTTGTAGAAGAGCAGTAAGTGATAACATGGAAAATTGTTCATGATATATTGAGTGAAAAGAACAAATTGTATAACAGCATGATCTCATTTTCTAAAGAGAGTATATGTGTAAATATTAATACCAAAACATCAATGGCAGTTTTCAATGGTGGTTTAAAATATTTTTTTTCAGAGTACTTTCCTTTGCTTTCCTCACCATTCCTGACAGAGGAATGAAACCATGCTATAACAGTCTCTTTGGTAATGAGGTCTAAATTGGATTAGAAAACATGGAATTTTATGCTGAAGTAAGCTGTTATTATAACTCTTCAGCATACTCAGCAAAAATCTCCAAAATTAGAACTGTAGTAAGAAAGAAAATAATTGCACTTTTTACTTTTGCAACATTTTCATATATAGGAGTGTATGATTATGGATTTGTTTTTTTTTGGACAGCCCAGTATTAAGATCATTTAGTGTGAAAGGAAAAAAATAAAGAAAAATAACCCTTAATTAATCTCACTTTGGTTACTGAATCCAGCTATATTTTTGACTTTATTGAATAGAAATGGGAATCATAGACTCTATAAAAATTTTACAGAAATTTTTTTTCACTTAAAAAAATTATAAACCATGTTTTAAATTATAACTGAAATAATACGTAGAAAACATACCAATGAGCCAAAACCTAGGGTCCAGAAATGCTCATTTCGGACTTCCAAAACTCCATCCAAGGTAGACACCTAATCAAAAACACAGAAATAGGGTTGTTTGCATTTGACATATTCAACACAGTTCAGTCACATTATGGACTTGCTCTATGCCTAGAAATGACACGACCAAACCCTACATGAAGATACCCATTAGCCAAGAGAAGTCCCAGACCATTCACTCAAGATACCATTTCTGCTTGTTCGGTACTGAGTCAGGGCTTTATTTTCCAGTTTCTTACCTGCAGCAGTCTTTGCAGAATCAGGTCTTTACACCCCCATCCCCACTTTGTTCAACAGTCTATTGTTCTTTTCATTTTATTAGTATGGTATCCAGCACTTGTGGTATTATTATTTTTTTTTTGTCTTCTCGATCATTTCTTTCTCTGAATTCCCTTTAACAAATTTCTGTACAACACAGGATGTTATCTGGATGTGGGCCAAAAGGAAATTCCAAAGCCAGATATACTGTGTGTGGCCCACTGGTACAGTGGCGCAGGTTACATTAGCTGGGACAAGCAGCCAGCTATACTGATCAGAGTGGCCTTTGTGATACTGACAACCAATAGTTTAAAATACTCTCAACATCCAAATTATTTGATTATCTTATTTCTTCATTAGTTAACAAGTTGAATTTTATAACAATACAAAATCTAAACCCACAGATAAGATGTTAGGTGGTGAAGCAATCAACCCATAAAAGTGGCCTCTGACTTAATCAAAATCTTGTTTAAATACAGAATCATAAAAATCACAGCACTTACGCAGCAACAAGTGTGGCCTTAGACCATTACTTTTCACATTATTTCAAGTGAATTTGGCTTCCAGACTGAGCAATTCATCAAATTTCTCTATTTTTGTCACTATGTTATATCTGACTGTGTCATTATAAAGAACACAAACTCCTCTAAAATAAAATTCTAAAAAAAGGGTTGAACTTATTTGTACTCATTCTTTGCATTCTCTAGTTATAAACTAAAATGAGTTTTGGCCAATGATTTGTGAGAGGAATTGATGAGTATCCCTTTCAGAGCCATATTAAACTGCCAGTGCAACACTGCTAAAAAAAGTTTTTTTTTATTTACTATTTCATCTTACCTCTCTGATAAGTTTGTCCAACTGACCAATAACATGAGGTGGTGTTGTCTGAGGAAAAAGCAAAATAAATTATCAATCTAGGGAGATAAAAAGACTTTTGAAACAGTGGTCCGGACACTTAAAAAAAATGGGTTCTATACCAGTCTTTGCTCTGTTTGACATGTGCCCTAACACAATTTAGAGAAGAGAGGTTTTAACTGGCTCACTATTGGAGCAACATCAGGAGTCAGCCCATGCTTATTTTTTATCTCACAAAGAAGCTGCTATCTCTAGAACTAAATAAGCCTTAAAGAACCAACCAATCAACAAAAAATCTTTAAGAAAGCAGTATTTTGTGTAAGTCATAGCACTATACAACTAGTATCTTATTGTTGTTACTGCTTCTGGACAGGCAGATACAACCCATAAGTATTAGAAAAGGCATGCAGGAAAGACAGAAGGAAAAGCAGTGCTGACGTATACATCCAGTTCTGGGGAACGACCTTTCTATTCAGGGCCTTGTTGACAGGTGTTCCTTTCGTTTCAATACATAGTGATTTATCATTTTTTAACTTTTACTCTGAAATTTAAAAGTCTCACTAACTCAAGGATAGGAAATAAGAAAACAATTATAACCAGATTATACAATAGCCAAAGTATATTTATTATAGGAAAATAAATATCTCAAAAATAATTTTAAGCAATATTGTTTTTACTTGAAACATTATTAGAGGAAAACTTCTTTTTTCGTTTATGATTTTGTCTTATATTATAAATGCATGATGATCTGTGTCTATTTTGTGCATCACTATAATTTCACCTGGTCCTTATTATACAAATTTCAGAGATTACTGTCTGGCTTCATTTCTAACAGGGCCCTCCAGTGGCTAAAAATTTCACAATCTGGTAGAAGAAACACATATAGTTTCATAATCTGGTAAAAGAACACGGATAATTTTAAGCATGCACACTGAAAGAAGACCGTTACCTGGAGTAATACTTTCCCACTGTACACGCTCATAGGATACATAGTGCCAAATGTCATCAGTGCAATGGCTATGGCTGAGGCAGTGTCTACAGCAAAATAATTACTAAAAGGAAAAAACAATTCTAAATCTTAAATGTATGCTTCATTGGGTTTCTTACAATTTAATCTACTAAACATTAATTATCTAAAGCAACAAGACTGTTTTATCACAGTTGGTCACTACTAGCAATGGGAGCATCAAAAAGGAAAAGAATGTTTTCAGAATTCTTTCTCACCAAAGTTTAGTGGAAAATAACTAATAATTATGTTAATTGGTACAAAGAGAGATAATGAAGAAAAAAAATACGAGCATTTCCCCCCTATGTATTTTCAATCTACTTGTCAACTATAAAGATTTCATATATATCTATTTGCTGCAACAAATAAAAATATTCATATGGTAATTTCCGAGAAGGAGAGACTTATGGACTTTATCAGTGATTCTATTTTGCTGTAAACAATAAGTTTCCAATAATTACTATTAAATGTTTTTAAAACTCCTCAGGAATTTCCCAAGGTGAGATTCTCCAGGAATCTGTTAGAACAACACCGTGACTGAATGCAACATCTCACCAGTAGTTCACTGTTCTTTTAATAAGACTGACCAAAATGCTGATGGTTACAAGCTGATCATGTACTCTTTGTCACTTTTTCAAACATATTAGGAATAGAAACATGAATTAAAACATAGTCTCTGCCTTTGAAATAGCAGGAGATTCACGTGTAAAAAACATAATAAAGGACTTTGGGTACAAAGGAGTCCTACAGGGTATTACGGATGCACAAAGGAGTGAGTGGCAAGCCTACTGGGGCAGGAATAATCCAGGAAGGCTAAACATAAAAAGAGGTGACATTTGAGCTGAGCCTTCAAAGATGAGCAAGATGATGGGAGTAAGATACTGCAGACAGTGAAAGCACCATGTGCAAGGGCATGAAAACCCTGATGCAGCAATGAAACTATAAAGAGTGAAGTATAGACAGATGGATGGATAGCTAGTAGGTTGGCAGAGGCTTCATCATGCTAACAACTTTTAATTTAATATGCAAAGAAGAGGATTTTGAAACAGGAAAATATTATGTCCAGATTTGCAACTTTTAATGATTACATTAGTAGCAAAACAGCAGATAACTACAGATGTACGAGAATAAAAATTGTAAGATCAGAAGACAATTCTAAAATTAGGCAAAGGAAATGATGATAAAGGCTTCAATTCAGGAAAAAGAATGGGAAGAAGAAAAAGATAAATATTAAAAAGAAACATTAAATAAGAGTACTGTTTACAGTAGTCAAGACATGGAAACAATTTACATGTCTGTTGATGGATGGATAAAGAAAATGTAGTGTACACGTACATGTACATGTACACACACATACACACACACACACAATGGAATATTATTCAGCCATGAGAAAGAAGGAAATCCTGCCATTTGTGACACGGATGGATCTTGAGGGCATTACACTGAGATAAGCCAGACACAAAAGAACAAATATGTATGACTTCATTTATATGAAGAACTTAGAGTAGTCAAACTCATAGAGACAGAAAGTAGAATAATGGTTGCCAGGGGCTGGGGGAGGTGGAATGGGTAACAACTGTCTAATGGATATAGTTTCAGTTAGGGAAGATGAAAAAGTTCTGGAGACAAATCATGATAATGGTTACACAACAAACTAATGTACTAATGCCTGTGAAAGTACCAAACTGTATATTTAAAAATGGTTAAAATGGTAAATTTTATGTATGTTTTAACACACTTTAAAAACAGAACGCGATGGAATAGATAGTAGTACTCACTTAGATGGGAAATACAAGAAAAAGTAGTTTTGGGGATAGGGAAAATAGGTTCAGTTGAGGTAGACATGAACAGAAGTAAGATTTACTTTTTGGAATTCAACAGAGATCTGGGCTAGAAATACAGGTGTAGAAATCACACTGAGGTAGCAAATAAAAACAAGTAATTGTATGTGATATCCTGGGAGAGTATACAAAAGGGTAGGGAGTCAAAGAATCATGTCATAAAATGTTAAGCTTAAGGCAGCTGTAAAGTCTATTTCCTAAAAGGCCTGCTTTTTAAAAACTGATTCATATCTACTTCTCTTCCCTCGCTCAGCAACAGCAGCTGTGGTGTTCTCTTTCACTGGCCTGTTCTCATCAGGCCAGCAGTAGGGAATATAAATCGTTTTCCAGTCTGCATTATAGATTGTGGTGAAAATTTTTCATTGAATCCAACCCCCTTTATTTTTCAGATGAAGACACTTGAGGACAAGACTTGACCCAAAGTTACACAGGGCATAAGCAAATATACTATAAACTTAATCCCTATCCGTCCTACCAGTCTCCTTAAAAGTCAGGCCCTAGAAATTGAAACACACTTGATAGCAACTAAAAACACTTACTTAATTTCAATTAGCATATATGTAATACAAAGAGCAAATGCTCCAGCAAGATCAATCAAAACAAATGGATTCATCCGGGGAAGGAAGATACTGCTAAGTCCTGGAATAATTCCACACAAGCTATGAAAAAACAGACAGAAAGAGTACTCATTAGCAGAATTGTGTATTACTGATGAAAATTTTATAAAAGATGACTTGTATTTTAGTATCACATATCTTTTAAAGAAAGCAAAGAGGATTGGAAACAAAACACTCTCACTTGTAAAGGTCTCTTTCGCATCATCAATTAAAAAGAGAAGGTAAAGGGAGAATAAGAATTTGATCTGAGATTCATGGAGTGACCTCAGCAATGACTATGTGGTCTTCATGACAGAGGCATTTCTTGTGCATTCCTTCAAAGCTATGTTTATCATAAAACCTCGTAACATCTCACCTTCGACTAAGATCCGCAACGTGTTCTTGAAGCCAACTCGTACTAGCAGCTTTAAAAAGAAAGTACTTAAATTACGTACATAGAAGAATAAACCACTACCAGAAATACTTAATTTCTTACATTAAAAAAAAAGTTTGGCCTTGACTGTATAACATTACAAGAGGACATGTTATTCCTCAAGCCTAGAACCTTTTCTCTTTTATGCCCTTCAGATACTAAATGAAAAGCACTTTCCAACTACAATATATAGCTTACCTGAAGGAATCAGTGAACTTACACAGGTCACTGTTACTATTACTTTGAAGTTTTAAAGGCTCATTATACTGTAAAGCAGAGGTTCCTAACCAGTATGCTGAGAATGGGTTGCAGCTCCACCAATTACTAACTCCCTCAGCAATCAGAAACAGGTGGGGATCTGGCTACATGCAGACGCCTGCCCAGTCAATGTTCCCGGACAAGTAGCCTCCAGGCTCAGGCATCCTCTTACACTTATCTCAGGGTGCTACAGAAATATTCATTTTTTATGTATACCATGATGTAAAAAAGGTTGGCAAGCCCTAAAAACGTAGTCTAGTACAGCAGTTAAGAGCAGACTCTAATGCCAGAATACCTGGCTTCACACCAGCTCTGCCCTTAACTGGATGTGTGGCCTGGGGCAAGAGACAATCTCGCAGTGCCTCAGGATAAAATGGGGATAATAAAACGATTTATTTTGTATAGGAAGAATTAAATGGGTTCTATGTAAAGCATTTAGCATCTGGCAGTTAGAAAGTGCTCAGTATTATTCTGCACTCAAATTTCAACTAACGTAATAAATCTTGATGTTTCTGGGAACTTCCATTTCCAGTTAATAAAAATACAAACTATAATCTTTCTGGAAATAAACTTGGCAATATATATCAAAGACCTAAGAAATACTGTATTTTTAACCGATTTATAATTTCTTTTTTGGGAATTTATTCTAAAGAAGAATTAGAAATGCATACAAGAAGTTCTATACAAAAAGGTGGTTAAAGCATTATTTATAAAAGGAAAAGTTGGAAATGTGTAACAATAGACTAATGTTTTAAAATATTCAATACAAATTATTATGCAAGCATTCAAAAATCATTTTTTCAAAGAGTATTTAATAACAGGCAATAAAAAACAATGGCAACTGAAAAAAGCCAAACATAAAATTGAAAATTGACATAATTCAGGTATGTAAAAAATATGTATATGTACACAGAAAAAAGTTAAAGGAACAAAATAGAAATGTTAAGATGTTATCTCTAGGTTATGAGTTTATCATAAACCCTGATTATCAGTATTGTTTCTTTCTGATCTTCAAAGAGATATAGTTTCCAAATCTTTATACCTTCTTAAAATTTCTAAAATGAGCATACTATTTTAATAATTTATAGCTTTTTCAAAATAACTCTGATCATCACAAATATCATTATTTAACTTTCTAGCTCATGCAGTAATTCTTAAACTCTAATTCATACAAATACAACTCATACTTCATAACACTCATCAAGTTGTTTAAACTTGAATGGGTATTTCAAAAAGCTTTCTTCCCTCGATTGCATTGGTGTTTAAGTCAGTGAGATCTTAAAAGAACCTCATCTATCTTTGTTTCAAAGTGTGGGTGTGTGGGTCCACGTATAAAGCCCACTTTTTTCTCTTACTTCTCCATCCATCAATGATTAATCCTTTGTTGGTTAGTAGGATTCCAAGACACTGAAATTACTGAAAAATGCCAATAGTTTAGATGACTGAAGTAAAAAGTCAGTCCGAATTTGTAAAGATTTGAAAATAAAAAAATATTTCAAAAGGCATAAAGCTTTGCTACTTTCAAATATATGCCTACCCACCATTTCCCAAGAGAAGTTCCTGGGAACTTATTCAATTAACAGAATATAATTATTTGCAATGAGCAATTCAACTATTCTAAGTACAATGATGCTTCTAAAATGCTTGCAGTAAACTTTTCTTTGGTAGGTTATAACATCTAAAATCTCATTCATGTCATTTGGTGAATGAAATTTTTCATTACATATAATCCAACATACACGTCAGTTCTGCCTGTTCCTAAGCAATGTTACTTTAAAGCTTGAAATAATTTGATTTTGTTTTATAATTCTCTGCCTAGAATAAGACTTTAGAACCTTTGGGGTGGTCCGCTCTTCTCTTTAGGATATACTTTCTTGTTGATTTATGAATAAAACAAACAAAAGATTTGTATTTATGAGAGATAAACTGTATTTTTTTATTAACGGTAAATAAAAAAACATACCTTCAGAGACATAAGCAAAAGGTTTATTCCGAATAGAAAGCATCGTGAAGAGATTGAAAGAAAGAGCCACAAAAGTACCAACTAATAATCTTCCCCTAAAAAGAACAAAATTCATCACTATTTTTTTCTTGGTAATAGTAATACATAATTTCAGCACGCAGAGAGATAAAGAGATGGGAAGGCAGAGTAGTCTGCTTCAATGGTTTGATATTTGTAGACCAAGAAATCTCAACTTGGTTTCTAACCCCATGACCCATGTCCTGTCTACTGCTGCTCCATCTGACACAGGGCAAAAAAAAGACTCTTAGCATTACTATCTTCTTATAGGTGACTGCTGTTAGAAATAAATTTGTATAAATGCTAATGGTATTTGGTTTACAGTCTACCAGCCAGGTTAGACTGTCTGAATTAAAATGATCAGAATAGGTAAAGTCTACATAATTGGCAACTATGTGGTAGATAATAATTCTATCTTTTTACAGGTGCTACTAAAAGATTATTGGGATCAAATCCTAACTTACAGAAGAGTAGATGGGGCTGACTTAGTGTGTTGACCTGGGCCTGGAAATATTGAGGGATCCCAGGTCAGGGTAGAAAGGCCTTCCTGTCTGGTGAAAAAACATAAGGGCTTGGGAACAGTTAAGGATGAAAAGGAGTCTTGGGATTTGGGGATTTTGCTTGTGAAGTATCAGTAAAATGTACATTGCCACACTCTTAACTCTGATATTGGCCAAAGCAACAACTATTTAACAATATACTAATTAATAACTGAGAATCAAACTTAATAGTAAATTATATATGGCAAAAGCAAAATCTCACGTGTGTATCTCGGGCTGCTCCAAAAAGCGTTCTGCACTAAAAGAAAGAAATAATGTATTAAATAAATCCTATAAATCATAAAGTTAAAAGGCTTTATTAAATATATAATTAATCCAGTAAGTTCACAAAATCTTTTACTATGATAACCAAGTATTGATTGTTGGTAGTGACAAGGCAAGGAGATTCACAAATTATCAACATGTAATGTCAACCTTTCTCTACCAAATCTGTTTCAATGGGTTTGCATTGGGCATTAAAACATGTCTTACTGTATCACTAACTTTCATTCACATCTACTTTTGACTGGATTTAGTAGTGTCAAAGAAGGTAATAAAAGAAGGATGAAAAGAAGGGAGAGAAGTCTGAAATATGAAGAAATTATACTAGTAAAACTCCAGTACTGCTCACTTTAATTTGTATATCCTTCAAACCAGATGTGTCTCACTAGATTCTTTCAAGTTCCCGAAGGTGGCATAGGTAGAATTTATAATGACAGTAACATCACATACAAATGTACCTTTCTTTTAATATAAAGAGAGCTCCCAACTGTGCCAAGACTGTGGAGGCAAATACAGCCAGGACTTCTAACCTTTCAAATCTGAAATCGGAAAATTAATTCAATCAGTTTAATTCTTTCAATTTACAAACTAATATGTCTAAAACACATTCACTCCTTCAATATACATGTGCCTACTATAAGCCAAACACTGTTGGAACAGACTACAGAATTTCTAGAATGATAATAAATAATGAACATCCCAGATTTAGAAAAGAGTGCCTATTTGTACAACATATTTTCCCAGGACAGACTTATGGCTCTTATTTTTTAGAAATAACCATTATATTAGTAACAGCTACATTTAATTGACCCATCTTGTGTTAGACACACTGGTCACAGTGCTTAAAATATTACCTCATCTAAACCACCCAAATTCGTATGAGGGTTACTTTATCCATTTTTTTTTTTTTAAAGAGTTAAGTAAGTTGAAACACAAAGAGAAAACCTAACTGTTTAGAACCACATAGCTAGCAAGTGAAGTTGTCAGGTTTTCAAACTAAGCACTCTGGCTCCAGAGTTCATGATTATGACCACTACACTGCCTCTTCTACACATAACTGCAGTTAATTGAGTATGTTTCATAATTCCTAAACTATCAGCTGGAGGCCAGGGCTCTTATTTATTTTAGTTTTTCCCAAAACACATAGTTTAATGGCATTCAATACTTCTGGTAAGTATAAATGCTTAAAATTTCTCAAGTAAATACTTATCTTCAGAAAAGACAATAAAATAATTAAGGATGTTCATCACATTTCTGTTTGTAATAGTGAAGTGTTGGAATTAACAACAGACTACTATGCATTATTAAAAAATAACAATATTTATTGATACGGAAAAATGTAAATGATAAAAGTGGTTTATAGGAGAGTACAAAAAAAAGTATGTGAATGCAGCAGCAGTATTTGTGGCAATCGATAAGCTGATATTAAAGTACATACAGAAATGCGAAAGGTTTAAAAAAGCAAAGACAATCTGAAGGAGAACAAAGCTGAAAGATTTACACTACCAGACCTCAGGATTTCAAATCTACAGTAATTAACAGAGTATAATACTTATTAGCAAGGATACACAAATACACCAATTGAAGAGAAAATATAGTCCAGAAACAAAGTTACACATAGTCACTTGATTTATAAAAAAGGTAGCACATAATAGTAGAAGAAGGATGAATTTTTTTCAGTAAATGTTTTATCAAACAAAGCTATACAGAAACAAATGTTGACCTCTACCTTGACCTCTACCTCAGCCCATACACAACCCATATACAAAAATCAATTCTAGTTTGACTGTAAGCCTAAATGTGAAAGGTCAAACAGTAAGATTTCTAATAACAAAGTAGAGTATCTCTATGACCTTGAAGCTGGCAAAGATTTCTTGACAAGCACACAAAAAGTACTAACCATAAAGAACAAGACTGATAAACTGAATTTATCATTGAAATTAAAAACATTTCATTCATCAGAAGATACCTTTAAGAGAATGAAAGAGAAATGGGAGTGAGAGAAGATACTTCTATATTAAGAAGTTCTATATATCAACAAGAAAAAAAAAAGGGAACCCAATCTAAAAATGGATAAAACATTTTAACAAGCATTTTACAAAAGAAGTAATCTGAATGGTCAATAAACATAGGGAAAGTGTTCAAATATTCATCAAGAAAATAACTTAAACCCACAATGAGATATCACTGTTTACCCTAAAATGGCTTAAAAAAAAAGACAGACAATACCAACTATTAGTAAGGACATGAAGCAATTAGAACTCTGATTCTAGTGGGAATGTAAACTGGTAAACCCACCCTGGAAAACTGTTTGGTATTATCTTCTAATGATGAACATATGCAAATCCTATGACTGAGTAATTACTCTCAAAGACATGTGCCCAATATAAATAAGTACACATGTATACCAAAAGACATGTACAAGAATGTTCATTAAATAATTTTATTTATAATAGTTGAAAGCTGAAAATTACCTAAATTCCTTTCAATAGCTGAACATATAAACAGATTTTGGTATATTCACATAATGGACACATTAGAGCAATGAACAAAAATGAACTACTGTTAAATGAGGGTAATATACTGTAATCCCATTTATATGACTTCAAAAACAGGCAACAATCATCTGCAATGACAGCAATCAGAAATACTAGTTACTTTTGTCAGGGTTTCACTCTGATTCAACATTAAGTCATTAAGGGAGGCTTTGGGGGGGACTTGTGATGTTGTATATTGTGATCTAGATAAGCAGTTATACAGGTATATTCATTTGTTAAAATTTATCAAACTGCACATGGATATAACACAGAACAAAATATACTCCCTGCTACCATGAAATCTATATTTTAAAGGGGGAGACGACAGAAAAACAAATAATTTATAAGTTCTACATAGTAGAACTTATTACAGTAGTCTCATGTGACAAGGGGCTAATTAGCTGATCTGTTTTAGAATCTACTTTGAATGGGACCCAATCACTTACTGACTTAGCATTTAGTGATATTAAGATCAGAATAACAAAATGGGCTCACTTCACAAAAATCAGATGATGAGTATTTCAAGTAGAGAGAGTAATTTGTACGAAGATCTACAGCAAGCATGAGTTACATTCAAATTACAAAAAGACAGTGTGGTATAGAGGCTGTGAGAGTGGTAATTTAAAAAGAAGTAGGCTAGGTCTAAATCATATAAGGCCCTTGTAAATGAGAGAAAGGAATCAGGATTTTATTCTAAGTATGATACGAAACAAATGGATGGTTTTAAGGAGTAGAATGATAGCACAATTTAGGTTTAAAAAAAAAAAAACCACTGGCTGCTATATGAAGAATGGACTATAGGGGGTAAAAACAGAGGCAAGGAGACCAGTTGGGATGCTAGACACTGGTTAACGCAGGAAACAGAGGTAGCTTGTTTACGACAGTAGTAGTGGAGATAGAAATGGGAGCTGGGGCAGGTTCTGGAGATGTTTGTAGGTTATCTTGCCATAACATGCTGATGGATACATGTGGATGATGAGAAAACAATTGAAGATTTCACTTGAGCAACTGAGTGGTGGTATATTTACTAAGATGGAAAAAACTGCAGAGGAACAATCTTGGGAAAAGAAAACAAGAATTTTAGCCTAGTTTAAAATATTAATTAGACATCCATGTAAAGCTGGCAAGAAGGTAATTAAATTATGAAATGACACAAATTTCAGGGCTGGAGAACTGGAATTTTGGAATTATTAAATATAGATGATACTTTACACTATGTGATTGACTGTAATTATATTTAATTGTTCCTTTTTTCCCTATTTACTCTAAGCAAGTAGGCCAAAATGGGAGCTATCATGTCCTTACTTGACTCTGTCTCCTGGTTGCAGTAAATGATCTAAAGACTAATGTCCATACCAGGCTGGACCAACCAATAATATTCTCATAATTTTAGAACTAGAGTTTGGGGAAGAGTCCTTTCCTCTCTAGGATAAAGATGAGAGGGATCAAGGTCTTGCTAGAAGTTATCACTGCAGGATAGTGGAAAAAAGTGGTCTGAGAAACTGAACCTAACGTGCAGAGAAAAGCAGGCCTGAGAGGTAAGAGAAAGACAATGTCTTGAGTGTTCAAGTTCCTATGCCAGTTTACCTCAGCCTTCACACATGTCCGTTATGTAAACTACCAAAGGCTTCACTTTTTCCCCCAAACTAGTTTGAACTGAATTTCTGTCACTTACAACCAAAAATTTTGATGAGAGTCACAGATTTCCATATATAAACATCTATACTTTAAGAGTGAGTACCACAGTAATAATCTAACTCTTATCAAATTTCAGTGACACTTATGAATATCTTCATTTTGCATTAAAATTTCATGTTTACTTTGTACCAATGTTTAGGCAAATAAAACCTGATTTTGTGCAAAAGAATATAATCCCAATAATGGTATGTTGGAGAAGAAGTGTAAGTCTGGTCCAAGAGTTTCTTTACCAAATTAAATTCTTCTTTTAAGTTGTTTCCTTGAATCTGAAAGGAACTCACTTCTTTTCTACTGTATTTTTAAAAAATCCTCTGATATAAAGATTACCTACCAACCTTCAACTTTCAGTAATTTCTAAAACTATAGAAACAGGAATCTCAAAATCTTTTTCAGTCCATTGCTATCATAAGTTCAGTCTTAAGATAAAAATACATCTCTACCACTGCATTAATGTTTAAATATATCCCATTTACTTTACTATCTAGAAGATAACTTACATGAAAATCCTTTGTACTTTAACTGAAATAAGAGATTACCAAAATATTATACAGCTTAATATGAATGCTTTAATATTTCATTTATAAACTAGAAGAGAACCTGATGTGAACATTTTACTTTAATATGACTTAAATTTAAACATTCATGCTTCTTAACTATACTCCTCTGGGAAGGTGCTTTTTTTATCCACTTTCTCTATTTGATCACCATTCCACTAAACAGGCAGCATTTATTTTCTAGAAATACTCCAGCTGGCTCTTTACTGTGCAGTATAACTACTATTTTAATAGCAAAAAATTAGCAGAAAATAAAATAGTTTGAACTTACCCAAATGAATACGCAGGGCTAGGTTTCCTCATCATTACCCAGTAACTGATTAAACATGTTACTAAACTAAGTAAAAAGGAAAATAATTTTAGCATTAGAAATAGAGCTAGAGGAGAACACAAAGAAATTAAATTTTCAGAATACTTAAGCTGTTGGTTATCAGTGTGTGCAGAGACTAAACCAATAAGTTACTCTGATAATTTATAATCTAATCAAAATAAGCATCCAGATACATGGTAGTTTTAACATGTGGAGAAGCTGAAGTTTCAATATATCATTAAGACAGTTAAATAAAAACTAAACACATGCTTTCTTTACTCAATAAGTTACCCACCCTAAGTGGTTTCCATAACTGAGCCTGCAAAAAGTGACACAGTAACAATAAGGGTAATTTGTTTTATCTACACATATGCAATATATTTAACTTCGATAAACTTTATTTAATTTTTTAAAAAGTTAAAATAAATATAATAACACCTTGATAACATTCTAGATGGGATAAAGTTATGGTCATTTTCTTTTTCTTTTTTGGTCATTTTCTAAGTGTAGTGGAGATTCACTCTAAAACAACTTATTACAGTGTGGAATTCAGGTAACAACTATCTGTTTTAGGCCAATCAAGCAAATTTAGTTACATGACTGATGAAAAGACATTCTTATACTTCTATGGCACAGATCTTGGAGATATCATCATCTAAGCATTTTGCAACCTTTATATGGAAATATGAAAAGTCCCACAAAGCAGAGCTAAGAGGTTGTCTCTCTAGCTCACAATTACACACATACTTTGCAGTTATTAATGCCCCTCATTTCTTTTCCCATTTACATGGTTACAGTGGGAACTGGTATATTCTTACATGTTCCTGCTCCCTGGTCACAGCTGACTCAACTACAGGTAGGCACCTGAAGCACCTGACCTAATGTCTGGGTATCATCTTTTCTGTTGCTATATAAATGGGACATTTTCTTCTGGAATATCTCCTAATTATTATTTGTATATAAGATCCATGTTGATCATTTTACTCATTTCCTTTAAGTAAAGAAAATTTCATAAATTCAGTGTAACAAATTCCTTATTAGCCTCAAAATATTAAGGAGAGTTTTTAATACTTACCTAAAAAGATCAAAAATGGTCAGGTAAGTATATGCAGTTAAAGCTGCAAAACAACAAAATGTTTGGTTAAAATGTTACTGAATCCATTGTTAGGGAATAAATTACCATAATTGTTCATACCAGAGGTATCCAACATCAAAAAAAAAATCATGAGTCACTGACTAATCTCATATTTTGGCAATTATCTAGTAAATTTGATTAATATATATGTAGCTAAGTTGGTTAGCTACATATATATTATATGTATTGTCTATATATATACAAAAGCTTAATTTAGAACCTAATTTTTTCACTAGGAAAAATGAAACAGCATATGCTCAAAAGCCCTGTGACCAATTTTTTGCCTTCTTCTGTCATGAATACTATTTTAAATGAATTCCTTAAACAACAGGATGAAAATAATTGTACATAAAAACAAAAGAGGTCAAGACACAAGAAAATATTCCAGATTTCTCTTTTCAAGGAAAATCCAATAAATCTCAAAATCTTATTTATACACTACATAAGTACTTATCTATCACACTAAAAAGAAATCTCATGAAAAGAAACATGCACTCCAATGTTCTTAACAGTATAATTCACAATAGCCAAGATACGGAAGCAACCCAAGTGTCCATCAACAGACAAATGGATGAAGACATGGTGTACACACACACACACACACACACACACACACACACACTGGAATATTACTCAGCCATAAATGAAATTCTGCCATTTGCAGAAACATGGATGGACCTAGAGAACATTATTCCTAGTGAAATAAGTTAGAGGAAGACAAATTCTATATGATTTCACTTGTATGTGGAATACTAAAAAATAAAACAAAGAATGTATATAGACTAAACAGAAACAGACTCACAGGTATAAGAAAACAACTAGTGTTACAGTAGGAGAGGGAAGGGAGAAAA